GTGCAGCAGAAATTTTTTTTGTAACCTTGGCCAGATCTGTGCCTTGCCACAATTCTGTCTGTGAGCTCTTCAGGCAGTTCCTTTGACCTCATGATTCTCATTTGCTCTGACATGCAGTGTGAGCTGTAGGGTCTTATATAGACAGGTGTGTGGCTTTCCTAATCACGTCCAATCAGTATAATCAAACACCGCTGGACTCAAATGAAGGTGTAGAACCATCTCAGGGATGATCAGAAGAAATGGACAGCACCTAAGTTAAATATATGAGTGTCACAGCAAAGGGTCTGAATACTTATGACCATGTGATATTTCAGTTTTTCTTTTTTAATAAATCTGCAAAAATGTCAAAAATTCTGTGTTTTTCTGTCAATATGGGGTGCTGTGTGTACATTAATGAGAAAAAAAAAAGAACTTAAATGATTTTAGCATATGGCTGCAATATAACAAAGAGTGAAAAATTTAAGGGGGTCTGAATACTTTCCGTACCCACTGTATCTTTATCAGCCCCAATCCAGCCAAAGGTGTATCCAGTTTACGTGGCCCTGCCCCCACACTCACAGACATGGTAAAAAACCTGGGAGTGATATTTTAATTTTTATAAGCAGATCAGAGCCGTTGTCAAGACCAGTTTCTTTCACCTCAGATTTTAAAAAAAGGTTAAGCCTTTCTTATCCTGAGGAAACTTAGAAAAGGCGATTCATGCTTTTGTTACTTCGCGATTAGACTACTGTCATGCCCTGTATGTTGGTATACCTCAGTCGTTGCTGAGGAAACTTCAACTGATCCAAAATTTGGCAGCTCGGCTTCTGTCCAACACTCCAAGGTATGCCCATATTACTCCTGTTCCTCTCACATTACACTGGCTGCCTGTACATTTTAGAGTTAAGTTTAAGATTCTTTTATTTGTGTTCAAAGCCTTACATGGCCTTGCTCCACTTTACCTGTCCGAACTTTTATCTATGTTCCACGTAGAGCCCTGCGCTCTTCTAATAACCTGTCCCTAGTGGTTCCAGTCCCAATCCAAAAAATGGGGTGACCGCACGTTTGCTGTTTATGGCCCCAGACTCTGGAACTCACTACCGTTTGAGATTCGGTCTATCACCAAGCTAGCGGTTTTTAAATCCACATTAAAAACGCACATTTTTAAACAGCCTTTTGATCTTTAATCAGTTTTATCTGCCTCTAAGTGGCATTGTCTACATGTTGTTTTTTCTATGATCATCTTGTTGACTGTCTAGTATTGTTTTGTTTGTTTTAGTATTGCTTTAGTTGATAGATACAGTATGTCTATACTGTGCGGTACTTTGGGCCCTTCTGAGTTGCAAAGTGCTATATAAATGCTGTTTATTATTATATCATTATCATTATGTGTTTTGTTTGAAATAATCATTAGTAAATGTGTAAGAATAAAATGTGAAATAATTGTATTAAAAGAATGGGGAAAAGTGATTTACATTTAACAGTGAAAAGTACAGAATCACACAAGAGGAAGTAGACACACATCCCTAAAATGAGGAACTGCAGGAATGTGTGTATGTGACACAGAGAAGAGACACCCACCATACTGAGGAAGTAACAAAAATGATGGTTTCAAGCACAAAAGTAAAGATTTGACTAATAATTGTTTGATCAATGTCTAATCAATGATAATCCATGTTTAGCCAAAATAAAGCATTCAAAATATAAAGATTTATGTTTTGATTTTAAGGCATTGATAGTTTTGTGTGAAATCGATGTGTAATTCTGATTGTTCTGTTAAAAAGCAATGATGGAATTTTGATATTTCAGTCAGATGTGAGTTTATTGTATTTTTGTTATGTATTCAGTTTAGTTTTCTAGAAAAGAGGAGGTAGAATCCAAGGCTGGATCACAGTGGGGTGGAGGCCAGTTACGGGCAGTGGGCTTGGACTGGCATTAAAAAATATGTAATACTTCAGAACAATATGATTTTGCACGCCAAATAAGGTATTAACTGCAAACATTAACTGCGGCATCTGGTTGGATGAGAGGACAAGGATGACTGACCAAGAATCCTATAAAAACCGAGGCAAAAAGAGGAACAGAGAGTCCTTTCACTGCTGCGGCTGGAGGCTCTATCCGGCTGACCATCTGACTTCCAGGAGATCGAGGACTGCAGAGAGGCAGTCTGGGGAGAGGGCACCCCTCTGGGGGTGCTCCCCCGCAGGCACTGGCCTGTGAAGAGGAAGATGCATGCCAACAAGGGAGTGAGCCCCTTTTCTGGGTGCTTGAACACAGGCATCGGCCTGTCAGAAGAGGAGGATGCATGCGGAGGTGGGACGATGAAACTGTGGCAGACCCTCTCAGTTTAGCAGGGAAACTGAATTCTTGCTTCAAAGATGATTAATGAAAAAATTAAGGGACTGCGGGAGGCAGTCCATGAAGAGGATCCCCTCTGGGGGTGCTCCCCCGCAGGCTCGGCCTGTGAGGGGGGATGGATGTCGTCGTGGGAGAGAGAGCACCCTTTTCTGGGTGATTGGACACAGGCGTTCAGCCTGTCAGAGGAGGAGATGCATGCCAACGAGGGAGCACCCTTTTCTGGGTGCTTGGACACAGGCGTTCAGCCTGTCAAAGGAGGATGCATGCCAATGAGTGAATTCCTGCTTCAAAAATGATTGATGAAGAAATGAAGAATGTTAACAAAAAGCCACAATCCACCTGGCCTGGTGGGGAAAGGATGTCTTGAAAAGAAGACAGTTTTAGACATTTTCATGTCTTTAGGAAGATTTGACCAAGAAAATCATTGTTTATCTGAATTTGTCCTATTTCTCTCTTCAAGAGTTTTGAGGATTGAACCGGATGAGCTTTGATATTTTTGTGTGTAAATTCTTTTCCCTTGTGAAAGCTTGAATCATGGCGAAAAGGAAAAAGAGGAACAAGCATTGCCCAATCGGCCACCGCCCGCCCAGAGCCAGACGTGAGACCTTTATTCAGATCAAGAGCTTAGCTCAACCATAATAATTTTAATCAGTATGATCATTTTAAATGTAGGTTTAGAATTAGTCGTTGTTGATTTATTTAGATTGCAAGCCGATTATTGATGATTTTAAGGTTTATACTTTATTGCTTGTTGCTTTGCTGTAGCTCTGTTAAGCTTCTATATAAAATTCCTGAAAAGGTTTAATACTCTCTGTGGTTATTGAGTCAAGTTTGATGTTATTGATATTCCTATGATTTTAGTGAATTTTCACTTTTAAGTGGTAATGGTTAAGACACACATTTTTCAGTGTTTGGTTACCCAATTCCCAGTGAGTGTGATTACCTAAGTCTTAGTGAGTGTGTGAGGTTGCACAACAGTTCACAGGGTTGACAGAAGGCCCAGATTGAACTGCTAAAATTATTTTTAGACAAATACATCAGAAAAGGGTTTATCTTGAGTGTTTAACACAATCAATAGTATTAGTAGTATGCCGACCCTCTCAGCAGTGTCTCAGAGAGGCAGTGCCTGTCTGATTGGGCTTGTTACTCGGGTGTTATACAATACAAAACCGGCTGGCTGCGAGAGGGAAGGATTTTTGGACAGTTTAATCATATAGTTTAACACTCAACAGTATTAATAGTATGCCAACCTTCTCAACAGTGTCTCAGAAAATTAAAACAGGCAGTGGCAACCCAGCGGTGTTAACAAGCTGCCTGGCTGCAGATACCTCACGGTGACAACACAAGCAGCACTTTTCTGATTGGGCTTGTTGCTCGGGTGTTATGCCGTACAAACCAGCTGGCTGTCCGAAGTGCAAAACAAATATGGTCTTAAGTGTCCAGTGACACAGCTTTCATTGGTTATTTCAGATGAAATTTAACACTTGCTCAAAAATCCAGAGTATCCTGGCTTATAAAAGTTTCTCAGTACGGTAACATCTGAGGGTTAAGGGGGTCGGTGCAACAATAACTCCAGGTTGCTATTATTTGAGAGGTTTGGGGTCTTATCCTGAATTAATAACATGAAAGAGGGAGGTCTGCAGGGAACTCTGTTCGCAGGTTCATGGTAGTCAATTACTGAGTGAATATCTCCGTCATATAACCTCAAGCAGTGTTTGGAGCTTTAATATGTTTCAAATATGCCACCTTAGTGTGAGAGATTAAGCTTTATTCCTATGTCCAGGGGTTAGCATATCATGGCCTTCAAACACAACCAACATGACAAAAACTGAAAAGGTGTATTTTTGAAATTTCTGTTAAAAAGACTTGGTTACTAATATGGCACAATATGTTTGTCAGTTTGTCAAGGGACATATTTGTACTATCCACTCCTAATAGGACTAGGGTTCAATCAAGCTAGCAATAGCATGAGACCTGAGCAACTTATACTAGCTTGAAAGCTCAGTGCAAGAAGGAGGTCCTGGCTTCATGTTTTCCAACTGAGAACCATGGCCTCGGATTTGGAGGTGCTGATTCTCATCCCAGCCGTTTCACACTCGGCTGCAAACCGCCCCAGTGCACGCTGGAGGTCCTGGTTTGATGGAGCCAACAGGGCAACGTCATCTGCAAAAAGCAAAGACGAGATCCTGTGGTCCCCAAACCGAACTCCCTCCGGCCCCTGGCTGCACCTAGAAATTCTGTCCATAAAAATACCCCGTACTCCTGGAGCACCCTCCACAGGGCGCCATGAGGGACACAGTTGAATGCCTTCTCCAAATCCACAAAACACATGTGGACTGGTTGGGCAAACTCCCATGAGCCCTCCACCACCCTGAAGAGGGTATAGGGCTGGTCCAGTGTTCCGCGGCCAGGACGAAAACCACATTGTTCCTCCTGGATTCGAGGTTCGACTATCGGTCAAATTCTCCTCTTCAATACCCTGCATAATTCCTAAGATACTTTAATACTTTTAACATAATGTTTTTGTAAAACGCCTATGCTATTTATATTAGCAGTCATGTCCAAATACCAAAACAGCATTGCCATTATATGTTAACAATCATGCCCTATAGTAAATGTTATAAAGGCAATACTGGTATTCACAAAGATGCTGTATGTTTTACCTTGTATTACTGCTGACGTCCTGCTGTTTCTCCAGAAGTCTCCTCTTCCATTTGCTCCTCATCCTGCTCAACGTCCTCCTCCATCCTCTCCTCCTCTGTTCTCCTCTCTCCCTCCGTGGCAAATGGGGTGCTACTCGGTCGCCCCCGCTGCCTCTGGCTGCGCCGCATCTTGCGGGCGAGGCCCTTCCTCCTTGGTCCAAGAGCACAGGTCTGAGTTGGCATTGTGGCTGGACCGGGGGACGGGAACAAGGTGGGACATGGAGAGGGAGGAGAGGTGGGTTTGGACCTTGACAGTGGTCTCTGGGCTGGTGTTGTGGCTGGGGAAAGAGAAGCTGCTGTGCGTGGAGGGTGGCTGGCTGATGTACATGTTATGGCTGCAGAGGACCATGTGTGTAAACCTGAGGAGGTACAGGGTGTCTGGGATGGGTGACCGTCCTCTAGGTCTGACGGGGCAGAGGTAAAGGATGCGCAGAGTGTAGATGAATCAGGTGCCGCCTTAGTGTCAGCAGGACCTCTGAGAGGAGAGTCTAGGGAAACGGGAGAAAATAACATAACATATATTACTCTAATATATGAAGCATCAATAAATGTGTAAGCAATTTTGACATTTTCTAGATGACACCTTGAAAGGAAAATATCAGTTTTTCTTTTGTTTTTCCTCCTACCAGGGCCACTGCTGCTCTGGGACTCATCGGTCATTGGTGGCTCTGCCTCCTCCTGGATTGTTGGTACTGATGCTAGTAGACCTGACACACAGACACACAGTAGATGGAACTGTACAAAAGCATTAAACTGAGTTGAAATCCAAAAGATCCAAATCGGTTTTAAAAAATCTGTAATCACATTTTAAAGGCATTTCAAGCCATCGACATGTTCCATTTCTATTCTGAAAATTAACATTCATATTAATAATTCTGTTTTGCTGCAAATCTTTTATTTTTTCCAGAGTACGAGGTAGAAAAATGAAAGCAAATGAAGCTATGTGAACTTCCAATATAGTCCACCTGCAGGAACAGCCTGGCTGAGGAGCTGAGAGCAGCTGAAAGCAATGTTTTTACATATACACTTAAAACTGCTGCACTGACATTTAAAATGAAACATCAGAGAAAGTTAGAAACAACAGAGGCATTTTAAATCCAGACAGATGCATCCTCCAGGCCCTATTTTAACTGTACAACTGACACAAGCAGGTAGGTGGCAGGGCTTGGCCACATGAGCTGTGTGGGCTCACCTGCTATTTTGGTTCAGGTGCTGCAGCACGAAATGCAAAAGAGCTGCCGGTGGTGCACTATGAAGCCAAGGGTGTGGTAATTAATAAATTCACTCTCTCATCACACTGAAACAGCTGATGACAACAACAAAAACAACTCAAGAAATGGAAAGAGGCTGCTCCAGGAAATGATTCTGTTATCTGGATGGTGCATAGTGGCACCTAAAATCTGCAGCCAGACTGGTCACATAATATTGTAAAATGTGACAAAGTAATATCATATATCACTCTCTGTGGTGGATGTACTGTATGCTCCCGGTTAAGTAAAGTTTAGTCTTGTTAGTTGACTTACTGAGTCCTCTGTAATGGGAGAGTTGCTGGTAAACTTGTTTCATCCTCTCGATGTTGAGCCTACTGCCCTCTGCATGGTTGATCATAGGTTTGGGGTAATCCACCCCCACCACGCAGTTGGCTGCCTTCTGGACCGACTCTGGCGCATTCCACGGCTCGTAGATGTACCGGTTTGGGTAGTCCTTTAAGGTGGGGATATAACGCCTGCAGGAAATTTCAAAAATACATTTTGGACTCTGAACTGTAATCCCATTTGCTGCTGACATCTAAAAGCATATTCCCTTAGTTTACAACTAAGCAAACATGGAAGAAACATTTCCGAGTTTGAAAAGATTTGACATAAAAAATTGTTAAAGTTCCCATGGCCGCTCATTCTGCTCGTTTCCAGCCATTTCATGTTTAATCCTGGGTACCTCTAGATCAGCTTGGCACCCCTCATAACTCCAAATAGTCTGTAATTATTTCAGAATGATAAAACCAGAGGGCCTCTTCCTGAAAACGAGAGGATAGTTTGTGAACGAGTACACCTCCTGCTGCCAGTGTTGAGTCACAAATGGAAAGCACAATGAATGGCAATGGCATTAATTATTATGAATGTCTCCTCCATAGATAGGTAAACAACGGTATAGGTACCGATGAAAAGAGATGTTGTCGTGGCTAGAGTGTGATACCGACTAAATTAATTCAGGAAAACCATCCCAATTTAAAGGATCATTTAATATTACAATTATTCTGAATAGAGTAGTATTTAAACACATAATCTTGTAGTTTAGGAAACAGAGAACAGAGATCAGAGAACAGAGACTCTCCTCTTGCAATGGAATAGATAAAGCATAAGGAGATTGTCAGAGCACCAGGCAGTCAGGTCATTTGTTGTCAGTCCCGAGTCAGTCAGCGTCTCCCCCCAGCCGGCTGGGTCCCCAAAAGTACGTGGTTTACTATTCACGGTAGCATGGTCATCCTCTCTCTCTCCTTCTGCTCTAACCCCGCTTTTATCTGCTCATACTCACACAGCTCTGCACGGCCGGAGCCATGAAGATGCGGTCCCATGCCAACTACCCTCACACACCTTCTTCCGAGCATTGTCTAAGCCGTCCAGTACATGACCTTCTAGGTCACATTGACCTAGCACACATTTCCCTTTTCTAAACCTGAACAGGGCACACGAACAGTTCACATCAGGCTACAGTATCCGTATATCCATTCTCTATAAGCTGCAGCTACAATATATCCATTCCCTATCTGAGGAGGAAGTCACTCAGGATGTTGACCCCTAGGCTAAACAAGGGACACAGCCCAAGATATTCTTGCCTGCGCCAGAGACAGATCAAGCTTCCGTACACACTGAGCTCAGCCTTACATCCTTACACAACTAACACAAGTATTATCTAAATATGAACTACATACTGTTCTATTACATATTACCTCTGGAATCTGGTTTATTGCTAACCACTACAATGTATAACACTCTAAACAAAGCGGGTAACTGAGAAACCCCATATTTTAACTGTCATAATGCAGACATGCAACAATTCTCTCTTAACATTACAGAAACAAGGTCATTAACAGACGCAGCGTGTGTTTTTTAAACTTACCGATAAGTCCCACTGAGTAGTGGAAACATCGCTCCCTTTCAAGTAGCTCCAAGGTCGGTGAATCCAACCGGTGGTCTCTGCATCTTCCCCCACAGAATCATGTACAGTCCCAAAATAGTGAAATTAATTCCAACAGGTAGTTTAGCGGCGACAATAACATCATGGGTCTTTAATCCGCTGGTTAACCAGCAACACATCACACGCTGCAGGCACACTGGCCTCAAGCAGTCAAAACAAATGGTTAATGTGCACCGGGGGGAATCCAACGATGATCAGCTGATCATTCACTGCCGTGGGGGCTTCACTGGCCGGCTGCTTGTTGGTTAGACCCGGTCAGGTAAAACAGCAAGTCCCTGTACAGGAACATTCCTGGACATGCAGTAACCTCAGGCCTGGATTTTTCTCCACGTCTTCTGGTCACAGTGCAGCAACAGGACAGAAAATATATCCACAAAACCAGGCATGGTCGAAAAATTCCATTTTTACAATGGCATCGGTGGATGTCACGCAAGCTCAAATGAATGTGCAACAGCCTGGAGATCATGACCATTCAAGAAAATTCTTAAACTATCTATTTTGAAAAAAAAAAGTGTCGTGAGCGAGAGTTTGCGAGACGTGTATAAACCGAGTTACTTCTGCACAGAAATACTAGAACCTATGAACACCTAATTTTTTGAGCTTTAGGTCACGTCTAAGAGGACAATTCACCGTTGTAACATTGTAGATAAGTCAGAAAAAAGTTTAAGCATCATGGGCTCTTTAAATGATATGGTGTGAGATACTCTATGAGTACCGGTGTAAATTCTACCTGATATAGTCTCCTGATGGGTCGGTTCTCCTTCCAAAGCCAACAGGACAGTAGCAGTGGAAGAACTGCTGGAAGAAGGCACTGCAGGATAGCCACATCCAGCTGCCAGCATTTACACTCCAGTCTGCATCCAGCAGCAGCTCCTCAAACACCTGGAGGAACACATGACGCATGATATGTCCCTGTCCAACAGTAAGCTTGGCACAAATAGTCTCCGATGTCAGATTAGGTTTCTGTTCTCTGCCTGTCAGGCACCAGGTTTGAGGCTACTAAATAAAAAAACGTCTCTGTCCTACCTTCATGCCACTCTCCCAGGTGATCCACAGGTCTCCTCTGGTGAGGAAGCAGGCCACGGCATGTCGGGCTAGGTGGTGGATCCAGCCCTCCTGTCTTAGTTGGGTCATAATGGCATCGATCCAGGGAAAACCAGTCCGACCCTCAGCCCACTTGGCCAATGCCTCTGGATTCTGGTCCCATGGGATCTGGAGACAAAAGTAGGACACAGGGTAGATACGTTAACTGTATACTCTTCTCGTTAAAGTAGACAATCTGGTTTTTTTTTTGTGTATTTTTTTTTTTTTACACAATAACTGTTTATTTTGCTCTTAAAACTACTGGTGTTTATATGCCAAGTACACTACCACTGGTTAGTACACTGTACTTGTTTTATTTCAGCTGAACTAAACTTTCAGTAATCAGCAATGGAATTCTGCAGGTCTGCATGAGTTTTCTTTGACAATACACGAGTACCAATATGTTTTTAGTTTTAACTGAGTCAACAACAGTTCACTGCTGCTGCCTCAGTGTCTAACTGTGATAATGGTATGAACGGTAACTGGGTGGCAGAGCCGCAGGACCAAACCGACCGCATTTAGTGGAGGGAGAGAGAGGTGAGGGAGGTATCAGCCTCTGAACCACAATGGGCTGTATCCACCCATCTGAGCTCTTCTAATTGGTGTAGTTTGACTTAGCATTATGAGGCTTTCACCACTGTGGACAATAAATGTAACTATTAAGAAAGACAAATGTGTCCCATATTGATCTGATATGGGACAAAGGGACAGAGCACTTTGTTTAACACTGTCAAAATAGACAACCCTGTATTATAAGGGACAGGTGGCAACAGAAACCTGTGGTGTTGTCTTGTGCTGTCACTACCTCAGTCAGGCACATTCAGCACATTAGTTACCTTTCCTGTCATGGATCCTATGTTCTAAACCCAAAACAGGTCCAGCAGAGTGTGCGTGTCTGAAGCCTGTAGGGATGCAACTTAGATCATTTTGAATCTGTAGCATTTAAAACCACGCTGTAATGGCGGTTTAAATCATAGCTTTTGTGAATATTACGTTCTGTTAAATTTCTATTTCAATTTAAAAATATCATTCATCATTCAGACCTGGCGATTAGTGAGTTTGTATTGCTCGATGCTCAAAAGTCCAGACCCCTGTGAAATCTGAATGCCAGGTCATCAGAACCATTCCATAATAAATGGGTTTCTTGTCACAAACGTTTTTGGTTAAGGTGCAGCGCTCTCACTGCTGCGGCCCAGGTTCGAGTTAGGGTTGCGTCAGGAAGGGCATCCAGTGTAAAACACGTGCCAAATGTCAACACGCGAGTCGTCAGTGTGAAGATTCGCTGTTGCGACCCCTAAACGGGAAAATCCAAAAGTGACTTTCTTGTCATAAATGTGAACACTTCAGTTCAGAGTTACAACCTTACAGATGCACCACAAGACTTGATAGGTTGTTGTACTCAACATGAAATCTCTATTTATTATCTGACAAATAGTGTATACAGATACACTGTATGAGGCCATCGCTAGCCACATATCCATAGGACAGAGTGTTGACAACTTTATGACTTAAAATAAGGGTTGCTGGAAAGTTTCCTCCCTGTTAAGTGTGAACCTCTTCCTGTGAACAGTGTGTTGCACAGGCCCACCTGGACACAGATGGGGTTTCCCTCCATGCGGTCAAAGTTTGGGTTGTTGGTGGCAGCGGTGTAGAAGAACTCCCTCCATAACAACTGGCCAAAAAGGGACAGAGGAGGATTGCAACGCTTACGGAGCTGATGATTAAAACCAAATGAGAAAAACAAAGGGCTGCTATTTAAAAGTTGCAATTCCAAATGTTGTGGTTAGAGAGAGAAAAATGAACAATTATAAATGTCAGAGAACAGTGCCAAAAGACACCAGTGTGTTTGTGCAGCCTGAACAGACAGGTATCCACAGTACCTTCATGTAGAGTTCTCGGAGGTTGTAGTACAACACCCTACAGGACAGACAGCCGAAGCGCAGGTAGGGGCTGAGGCCAGTGGGACTGGCATACAGAGAGCACGTGTTGCGCCGAGAGTGCTCAAAGTTGGCCACCCATACCTGTGCAGATGGACACAGTGTGGACAAGTGATCAAAAATAATGAAATGTTGAAAATCAAAATGAAATATCATGTACAAAAAGCTCTACTGTCTCTGTCTTTTTCCCCCAACACAGAATGTTGCTGATTACATCAGTTATTAAACATGTACACAACCAAACATTTGAACACACTTTTCTATATAACTGAACGTGTTCAAATGTTTGAGTGGTTGTATACATTAGTCCTAATAAATTACCTTACATTTTCAAAGCTGAGCTGTTTTTCTAAGTATGTACACCTTATTTTAGCCTCTGTTTTCTGCTCCTGTTTTAATTTGATGTTCATGCCGTTTGCTTAAATTTATGACAAATTCAGATCTCTGTTGCTTTTATTCACAGATGAATTCCAGTTTATTCTGAATGTCACTCTTGGCTTTTCTCTTTAGAGGTCGCCACAGCAAATTGTCACACTGACAATTCGCACGTTGATATTTGGAACTTGTTTTATGCTGGATGCCCTTCCGGACGCAACTCTGACTCAAACCCAGGCCGTAGCGGTGAGAGCGCTGCATTTTCCAAATGTTAAGCTACCATCAATGAGACTCAACCCCCCCCATCACGTTTCATATTAAAAGCCTTCCAGTAGCTCAAAGAGCATGATGCTTCCCTTCCTGGCAGCTTTTAATGTAAAAATCTGCAGGAAGTGCTGGGTTTGACTGGGAAATCAAAATAATCAGTGCAATACAAAGCTTTTTAAGTTCAGAAGAGAAACTCAGCAGCAAAGTGCCGAGTATGATACAACTACACAGGTATACAACAGAGTTTTATGATGTACCTTTTCTTTAAAGAGCCCATGACACTTTTCCTCGTTTTCTGACTTATTATCTACAATGTTACAACAGTGAATTATCATCTTAGATGTGACGTAAAAATTTAAAAAATGAGGCGCAAGTATGTTCTAGTACTTTACTGCAGAAACAACTTGGTTTGTACACATCTTGCAAACTCTTGCTCTCGAGACTTTTCCCCCCACCAAAATAAATGAGAATCCATGATGTTATGAAGTGTGAAATGCAGGACCTCCAGACTGAAACCCCCCCCCGCCATCAGACTCCTAAACAGCTGAGGAGTTTATTACCAGGAAATATGTCACATACTGTCGACCTGTACTGCTTACATTCTCAGTTTGCACACGCATAGTTGCACATTGACTGTTGTTGCTGCACATGCTGCTCCCATGCAGCATACATTCTCTTATTATATTCTTATATATTTTTATTATACTGCTGCATTTGCTGCTTAAATTGTTCAAGAAGGCGGTTTTGTCGAAACTCAGAGTTTGTTAACCCCGAAATGAGGGCAACTCGGAGTTTTCGGTTTCAGAAACGGAGGTAACTTAAACCCGTGAAGCGGGGTAAGTTAAACCCGTTTCACAAAGAGAGGTAATCTAAACTCAGAGTCAGTTACTATGGCAACTTACTCTGTGAACCTAACCTGGTTGGGAGCAGGTTTTGTTCGGGAAACTCAGAGTTTCCTCCGGGTCTCCGCCCCTTTTTAAAGTGAACGGTGTTTAATACCTCATTTAATCTTTCAGTACATTCATAGATTGCACACGTTTCCGTCACGCAGAGACCAAAATGGCGTGTCCATTCATAGAGGATCCTGTAGATGAGGACGCTGTATTAATTCGCAGGGAATTGCATTTACGTCGGGAGAGGATATTGAGGCCACGAGTTGATTTTTTTGTCATATCCCCATGTATTTTTATTTGAGCGGTACCGTTTGTCTAGAGAGTCCATAACATATATCAATAATCTTATCCACCCATACATCAGACACATCACCCATCGTGGCCGTGCTCTTACATCCGAGCAGCTGCTTTGTGTTGCGTTACGATTTGTTGCAAATGGCAGTTTGCATCGGGGATGCAGAGCCCATTAGTAAGGCCACAGTATGTAGAATAGTTCGGAAAGTGTGCCTCACCCTCAAGCGCTTTCTGTGAATTTTTGTTGTGTTTCCTGGGCACAAACCCCTCAGAGCCATTAAAGAGGAGTTTCACAGGATTGCAGGTTAGTGGTATTGAATTCGTTTCAGTGAGGCTAATCTGAAAAATGATGATCAGTTAATAACATCTTGCTGTGACCTCTGGAAATAAACTAATAATTTGTGGTTGGATGCATTGATGGGACACATATTCCCATCCATGCACCTCTATGAAAATTAAAATTCAATTCTTATATTATTACATCAGTGTTGGGTCAATTTTAAAAAAGTGTTTTGATTAATGTAATAATTACTCTCCATAAAACGTACTGGATTATTTATTAATCATTACTTTACAAATCCCATATCAACCACAATAGGAATTTTAAGAAAGGGTGGACATAAAACTGCACTTTTAATTCGTACAAAAATCGGTATTTTATGCAATTACTGAAGTTACTCATTCAATTATTGAAGAATTAAGAACCATTCCTTACTTTACAAGTGACAAATAATAACATTACTAACATTATTTAGTAATTACTTACACCGAACACTGTATGATTAAAATGTAAACGTACGCATTGACTCTCAGTTTTCTCTTGACTCGCGGTTTCTCTCTGCAATCAGTCATCATTCCTCCCACCTGCTGCTCGTTGTCTCCCGGTCCCGTCAGGTATATATACACCCTGTCTTCCGCTACGTCTTTCCTGGTTCATACCATACTGTTACCTTGCCTTAATGCCACGCTACCTTTATGCTATGCTACCCAGTTAGCCTTATGTGTTCGTGTCCTGAGCTTACCGTCTGTTCAACTCTGTGTCCCGTCTGTTTCTACCAGTCCCTATTTCTGCAACTCTGCAGCCCCGCTTACGCTGCGCCCGTTCAATCTGCAACTTGCGTCGTTTTATGTTTAGGTGTGTAAGCCCTCAGCTCCTCATCTCTCCCTTTGTCTGTCTATTAGTCACCGCTGCCCTGTGTTCTCCTGTTTGCCCGCTCATCCTCTGGTTCTCGTGTCTCTCCTGCTCGCCCCTCTCTGGTCTCCTGCTGGTCTCCTCATGGTCCTCTCTGGTCTCCTGCTGCTCTCCTCGTGGTCCTCTCTCGTCTCCTGCTGGTCTCCTCCTGGGTACCTCGTCTTCCTGCCACCTTGGTCCTCCTGGGTACCTCGTCTTCCTGCCACCCAGCATTACCTGTGTTTTGTTTCATTAAACTACTTTCTTTGGCTCCTACTCCTCCTGGTCTGTGTCTGCAACTGGTGTCCACACCATGCTCACACATAACAGCTAAAATATGGGGTTTCTCAGTTACTGGCTTTGTTTAGAGTGTTATACATTTCTTTTCATCGGTACATACACCGTATACCTATCTACGAAAGAGAAATTCATATTAATGCCATCGCAATTCATTGTGCTGTCCACTTTTGACTCAACACCAGCAGCAGAGAGTGTGTTCGTTCACAAACTATCCTCTTGTTTTATCATTCTGAAATAATTAGACTATTTAGAGTTATGATGTACCTGGGGTTGGAAGATCTCTGGACTTGGAGTGTGAATTCTTGCCTGTGACTTTTTGAATAAACCAGCACGGATATATTTTTTATATACTCAAGTGGTCTGAGTCGTCCCTCTGAGTTCCTGGTTTGAAAGAACCGGATGAGGCTTTATAATGGTTTTTAGCCTTTAGGGGCCTATTTCAAGAAGGCGGTTTTGTCGAAACTCAGAGTTTGTTAACCCCGAAATGAGGGCAACTCAGAGTTTTCGGTTTCAGAAACGAAGGTAACTTAAACCCGTGAAAGCGGGGTAAGTTAAACCCGTTTCACAAAGAGAGGTAATCTAAACTCAGAGTCAGTTACTACGGCAACTTACTCTGTGAACCTAACCTGGTTGGGAGCAGGTTTTGTTCGGGAAACTCAGAGTTTCTTCTGGGTCTCCGCCCCTTTTTAAAGTGAACGGTGTTTAATACCTCATTTAATCTTTCAGTACATTCATAGATTGCACACGTTTCTGTCACGCAGAGACCAAAATGGCGTGTCCATTCATAGAGGATCCTGTAGATGAGGACGCTGTATTAATTTTCAGGGAATTGCATTTACGTCGGGAGAGGATATTGAGGCCACGAGTTGATTTTTTTGTCATATCCCCATGTATTTTTATTTGAGCGGTACCGTTTGTCTAGAGAGTCCATAACATATATCAATAATCTTATCCACCCATACATCAGACACATCACCTATCGTGGCCGTGCTCTTACATCCGAGCTGATGCTTTGTGTTGCGTTACGATTTGTTGCAAACGGCAGTTTTCTTTATAACATCGGGGATGCAGAGCACATTAGTAAGGCCACAGTATGTAGAATAGTTCGGAAAGTGTGCCTCGCCCTCAAGCGCTTTCTGCACATTTTTGTTGTGTTTCCTGGGCACAAACCCCTCAGAGCCATTAAAGAGGAGTTTCACAGGATTGCAGGTTAGTGGTATTGAATTCGTTTCAGTAAGGCTAATCTGAAAAATGATGATCAGTTAATAACATCTTGCTGTGACCTCTGGAAATAAACTAATAATTAGAATCCCCTTCAGGATTTCCAAATGTGGTTGGATGCATTGATGGCACACATATTCCCATCAATGCACCTACATGAAAATTAAAATTCAATTCTTATATTATTACATCAGTGTTGGGTCAATTTTTAAAAAAGTATTTTGATTAATGTAATACTTACTCTCCATAAAACGTACTGGATTATTTATTAATCATTACTTTACAAATCCCATATCAACCACAATAGGAATTTTAAGAAAGGGTAGACATAAAACTGCACTTTTAATTCGTACAAAAATCGGTATTTTATGCAATTACTGAAGTTACTCATTCAATTATTGAAGAATTAAGAACCATTCCTTACTTTACAAGTGACAAATAATAACATTACTAACATTATTTAGTAATTACTTACACCGAACACTGTATGATTAAAATGTAAACGTACGCATTGACTCTCAGTTTTCTCTTGACTCGCGGTTTCTCTCTGCAATCAGTCATCATTCCTCCCACCTGCTGCTCGTTGTCTCCCGGTCCCGTCAGGTATATATACACCCTGTCTTCCGCTACGTCTTTCCTGGTTCATACCATACTGTTACCTTGCCTTAATGCCACGCTACCTTTATGCTATGCTACCCAGTTAGCCTTATGTGTTCGTGTCCTGAGCTTACCGTCTGTTCAACTCTGTGTCCCGTCTGTTTCTACCAGTCCCTATTTCTGCAACTCTGCAGCCCCGCTTACGCTGCGCCCGTTCAATCTGCAACTTGCGTCGTTTTATGTTTAGGTGTGTAAGCCCTCAGCTCCTCATCTCTCCCTTTGTCTGTCTATTAGTCACCGCTGCCCTGTGTTCTCCTGTTTGCCCGCTCATCCTCTGGTTCTCGTGTCTCTCCTGCTCGCCCCTCTCTGGTCTCCTGCTGGTCTCCTCATGGTCCTCTCTGGTCTCCTGCTGCTCTCCTCGTGGTCCTCTCTCGTCTCCTGCTGGTCTCCTCCTGGGTACCTCGTCTTCCTGCCACCCAGCATTACCTGTGTTTTGTTTCATTAAACTACTTTCTTTGGCTCCTACTCCTCCTGGTCTGTGTCTGCAACTGGTGTCCACACCATGCTCACACATAACAGCTAAAATATGGGGTTTCTCAGTTACTGGCTTTGTTTAGAGTGTTATACATTTCTTTTCATCGGTACATACACCGTATACCTATCTACGAAAGAGAAATTCATATTAATGCCATCGCAATTCATTGTGCTGTCCACTTTTGACTCAACACCAGCAGCAGAGAGTGTGTTCGTTCACAAACTATCCTCTTGTTTTATCATTCTGAAATAATTAGACTATTTAGAGTTATGATGTACCTTCTTGTCCAGATGTTTGTTGAGTCGGTCCAAGGCCTCAGACTCTCCTCCCTGCCACACAGCCGGCAGTAAACCCTCCGTCCTGAAACCTGGATGCATTTACATGAAGACAAGGTCAAATGCAAAGCAGCTATTAAAAAGGTTTGTCAGTTGAAGGAAGAAATATTAAGATAAACACCCCTTAATAATGTGGAATTATTTAATTCAACTAACGGTAATTAAGAAATATGATCACATTCTCTGTACTAATTGTCCCTCAGTATACCCAGAGAACATCACAGAACATCAAACCCATGCTATAGTGCTCATTAGGATTATGAGTGCTACAACTGTCATTTTCATTTCTAAAAATCGTGCAGCAATCGTGGATTCTAAAAATACCCAGTTCTTCCAGTGAAGGTATACTGTACAGCTGGTCATGGTTGTCAGCCATTTTAGTGCGACATTTGTCCATCTGCTGGTATGTGACAGGAGGCAAGGGTCTCCTGGGCAACTCCAGCCTGCTCACAATGGTCTGAAACCGCTTAAAGGTTAGAGGAGCACTGTTGTTGTTCATCTCGATTATCCTGTGACCAATACAGAAAAGAAGAGCTATACACACAGTATGAACACAGTACTGTATTTAATATACAAATGAACAGACTGTGAGCAGATTTATGTCAAAAAGACTAATATAAAATGGAACCTTGAATCTAAAATGCCCATTTTACTGCATAATACTAAAGAGAAGGACAGGCTAAACAACCCAAGTCCTAAAGGTAGCAAAGGAGAAAATAATATAATGTGAAGATGGACGTGGTCAGTAGATTTGATGGCACTCTGCCAAACAGAGGAGCTATCTTGTGTACAATGCTGATATTTTGTCTTGATGGTGGCACTGAAGAGAAAAGCTCCAAAAGCAAAACAGTTTATCCTCTGATATGCAAGACCTGTTATCAATACATTTGGTGGCAACTTGATGATTAAACTGTGGTTAGAGCACAGAGCCAACAGACAGCAGTGACAGGCATCCACAGTACCTTCACGTAGTATTACGTGAAAATATTTTGGCTGCAATCACAGTATTTTGTAGGAATTCCTGCCAAACTCTGCTGGCACTTTAACATTCAGCTGTGTGACCATATTGTAGAACAAGTATGGATGAAGTGCAAAAATAACAACTGTGCTGCAAGTAGGCCGATTAGATAAGCAGGCGTGTCAGAGCTGAGAGCAGCATTCAATTAATTTCTTTTCAAATCTGGCCATTTGTTTTCATGACACCATCTTATGGATTAAAGTAAGGCTGATAGGAGTAATTAGTATAGGGACTCTCATTCTGTATTTCAACCTGTATTTCTTTTCATCTTATTTTGCTAGTGCAGCTGGCAGCAATTCTCAGGTTCTATTGTCTATACCAGTGAGGACATTCTGGATACTTGGTTGGTGAATTAGTAGCAGGGAGAGCTGCCAATTATTTGATTCACTGTAGCTACTATGAATGAGTGCAGTAAGCTGGGCACATGCCCACAGCTACCAATATAGTAAATCCTACAGCTGAGCATGCACACATAAAACTAAGCTCCCTCACACTCAGAGCAGTAGCATTCTGATTCAATATGTAATACAGTGGTGTAATGCTGCGCTGGTCTGAATGTTCTCCATGGAGAAGTCAAGAGGCTTGTACACAAAGAGACAGTGCTTTGCTACTCCCTCCACTCTGACTAGCTGGTCCCAGAACATGCACTGGAGTGTGATCTACATTAACATGAGATGACCACTAGAGGGCTCTGCTGCACAAGACACTGTCAGAAGGGATTTAGACTGGTCACGCTGTGTTCACAATCTTCTTGGATGTTGTGGACTACTGGTGATTTTCTAGAGTGACCAAAACCCAACAGCTGAGTGCATTTCATCTGTAACATGACACCACTGCCTACTACTTATTAAGAGCCTGTTGTACAAGGGTGCACTGCTGCTGGTGGCAAGGTTTGCTCCATAAGCAAGTAAAACTAAAATATACTGAATGTGTAGCTCTTTATCATCATGCAGCTTGGTTACTGTGACGTGGTTAGAAATATCGACATATGCTACCATTTAAAAGTATGGACACACTTCCCCGGTGGGTGGAATGGGAAAATGTGCGGAAACCTTTGACTGACAATGTACTGAGTCAGCTACAAGACCAGAGCACAACAAATAGTAGTGCATGTAAGTTAGAAAATTAGCTGAAAGTGAAACCGCCTAATGTAACAGACAGATGGATGACATAGATAGCTAAATGTAATGGATGAATTGATACCACAGAGAGCTAAAAGGTATGATGAAAACAGTGGGAAAAGCTGTATGGAAGCGATGGATAAATGGTTAAAAAAGGATAAATTACTGAAATGGTGAGCTAAAGGTAAGTGATATATGGTAAAATAGACAACTGAAAGCAATGGATAAATGGATGAAATGTCCAGATTCTCCTACTGCAGGAAGCACAAATGTATCATTGAAACCGTATGGAAAAAATGTTTCACCTCATCACTGTAACCATAGCTTTACTGAGTAAAACATCAATTCAAATGAACCCGAGTGGAAAACGACAGGCGGTTTGGATGAAGGGAGATGCTGACAAAAGAAATGTTAGGAACCACTGATTCCCATGACAGCCATTATCTAGAGCTGCTTTGTTTTCAAAATCTGGATTTCCATGCATCCAGTTACCATGACTTCTTTAAAATATGAATATTTATCAGCACATTCTTGAAACTTGCTTGAGCTGTGCGATTCATCATTATAAACATGGACGCTGCTTTGCTTTCTGTCAAAGTTCCATTATAGCTATTAAGTATTACAGGAAAAACTTTTCAAATTAGTTTGCACTGAAGCTGTATTACTACAGAAACATAATGTAACTCAGATGATTAATAATTCCAGTTCAATTACACAACATAAGCTAATTTAAATTCATTTTTTACATCGTATAGAAATCACTGGAGCCCAGTGGCTGCTTGGAAGGGTAAGAAAATACAGCCATAAACATAAAGGTGAATAGTACAGATGCAGCCACTCACTTCCCGTCAGCTTTCCAGGATGGTGTCACCATTAGATGTTTTGTTCTCAAAACACACACAAACCACAGTGACTGCCTGAAGTACCGTATTCACACTGCAGAGACGCATTGCTGTTTAGGCCACGGTTTATACAATAGAATAGTCTGACCATAATCCTTATCATACAGATACTGTACCAGATAAATAGATATTACCTGTTACACTGGGATTCACATTTCTAGTCAAAGATCTGTTAAACATGGTTAACAAGCTTAAGTTACATTAAGAAATAATAAACAGTAAAGTCTGCTAGAATAACTTCATTGTGAACATTCATTTAAAATCTGATATATCACACAGCTGCTGTGATAACTCCGTGTGTGTAACATACTTGGCTAAATAAAGGTGATTATGTGGACTTTGTAAAGCGATACTGTCACTACAGCTTCATTAAAACAAGGGGCAGGATGACGGTTTAACTGCACTGTCTTAACATCCAGATTACTGGTTTATAGCCTATTTGTTCAGTCGCCCTGTCTCTTCAAATATTCCTACGCAACTAAACTGCAAATGCAGATGAATTTTATGAGGAATACATTCGACTACTGTATTGTATTCTGATGCAACTGAATTTTTGAATGAATGAAACATTGCATTTTCCTACTGACAGAGATAAAACAAGAACCAAGTGGGGAGAGCAGCTTAGAGAGGAAAAAGAACAGGCCTACTGGCATAATCCGGTTGAAACTCATAACACTGCATTATTAAAGTGCATGTCCTGCAAAATGAATGTTCGAAGCTGTGATAATGAAATTTAAGGTGTGTTGCTAACTCAAACAGAACGTGCTCTGATGCAACTGGCACCTGCTAGTGTTTGTGTTTTGTCCAACCACATATATGATGACGTGGACGGTTCACAGCGACACAGTTTAGTGTCGACTACAACCTCCGTTTACAAAAGACAAGTGACAGAACAAAACTTGGATCATCCAGACTGACAGACTAGAGCAGGGGTCCCCGGACCATTACCGGTCCGTGGATCATTTGGTACCGGGCAGCAAAGTGTAGTGGTTAAAAATAAATCAGATTCCAGAAGAACTATGCCATAGAACAGTATGTACTTCACATATAGACATTACTTGTACTTAGTTTATTATCTGTACTTATTTGAGCTGAGTGGCTATGGGTTCATGTGAGTTGGACAATGGGTTTATGTAGGAACAAGATGTTTCCTGTTTTCGAAGTACATCTCAGGGTGTTGTCTCCTGAAACTGGAGACAGGAAGCTAGGTTCAGAAACAGACGCAACAGCATAAGGGAGGCTGCGGATAAGAAAGGAGTGAGCCTGAGAGGAGAGGGGAGAAGGACCATGCTACCGTGAGCAGTGTACCACCAGCCCGGCTTTGGAGGGCTGGTGGGAGACGACGACTGACTGGGGCTGACTGACTCGAGACTGACAACCAATGACCTGACTGACTGGTGCTCCGACAATCTTTAGGCTTTATCTATTCCATTGCAAGAGGAGAGTTTCTGATCTCTGTTCTCTGTTCCCTAACTACAAGAGTATCTGTTTAAATACTACTCTATTTAGAATAATTGTAATATTAAATGATCCTTTAAATTGTAATGGTTTGTCTAAATTAATTTAGTTGGTATTTCACTCTTGCCACGACAAAAGAAAAAATTTCATGGTTAAAATTATAGTGATTTTTCTTTCATTAGTCTTAGTTTGAAAAATGACTGTGTCCGCCCTTGCCTCACTACCGCACTTGACTCTGGCATGCCATTTTACGCATCAGCGACACAAGCTAACCCTTTAAATAAGCCAAAAACAAAAGTCACTGGAGAGCTTTTTCGGGAAGGAACAAGCAAACGATGGGATGGCAGAAGGGTCACAGACTGCCAGCAAAAAGAAAGCTGCATTTAAAAGAAAATACCGCGATTCCTATCTAAGTTACAGATGACCAACAAGCTAATGAAGCCATGAAACCCTCAAAAATGCTTCGCCACATTGAGACAAAACACCCCGCGTTAAAAGACAAGCCCTTGGAAATTTTTTCTAGTTGCCTAATATAAAGTGTAATTGTTGCATTCAGATTACATACTATGAACTGACAAAGGTTGTTGTTATTGGAACCCCCGCGCCTCTACCCGGTCCGCAGAAAAATTTTCATGCATGAAACCGGTCCCTGGTACAAAGTTTGGGGACCGCTGAACTAGAGTGTGACCTACACGAGGCACAGTGATGACAAAGATCAAATGTGACAATCAGCAGCAGAGACAGACTTTACACTGAACTTTACTGATGCTGGGATTTAAACAGACTGTTTTACCTGTGTACCTTGAGCGATCAGCTGTAGGTCTATATGATCCAAACAGGGCACAGGATGGCCAAACTTTTGAAGGTGCTGACCAGTCGCAGCCACGCGTTCATTGTGGCTGATTAACATGTAAATCAAAATGAAGCAGGAGGAGCTCAGTGAACAGTCAGTACATTTTGGAATCAGTTTAACACTGGAGCAGAGAGCATCTATTTTCTTATAGATTTAGGAGGCATTTGATGGCACATACTGGGAGGGAGCTGGAGGGACAAGTGTTTTCATATTCTGGGTGGAATGTGTCCCCCATGGAGATTACGCCCGAGTTACGGCCATAACATTCACCCTGTGTCAAACGGCTCCTTATTCCCATTGTTATTCCGCCACACCAGAGAATAAAATCAGTCCAACATTTGGTCATGTGGGCCAGTTGCAACAGAGCCGGAAAATGGTTTACCTGGCCCTCGAAACAGGCTAGTAGCTAGTAGTGTGATCTAACAAACGAAACCAAATTAGGTGCACTACCACATGTGTGCACACACAAATACACAGACACACTAAAGCTGTGCTGCACAGACATTGTTGCAGATTAAGCAGATAAACCTTTGGTGGAACAAGAGCAGAAAAACTGCAGCAATGAAAATACAATAGATATCCAAGGAGTGTGAACAGAGCTAAAGTCTAAACTAGTCTACTTTACATTTCTCTCAAACTGCAAATGACAAAAATAGCTCACTGACGAGAGAGAGGCTGCTGAACTGAATGAGCTACAGAGGAGCTGCTCAAAGACAATGGTTAACAAGTTTTATTATGGTTATGTGTTGACTCAGCGCTCGGTTTAGAGAAAGTGATTCTTAAAAGTGGCTTCAAATTAAATGTTAGAGCAGAATTCAAAACAGAAATCAAGATGCTGATGTGACAGCAGGGCCCGCTGTGCCTCCACCATACTCCCTTCTCTTGTTCTACTGCTGTACTGCAGGAAAATGCAGCGCTTCATTCATTCATATTCAAGAATGAACATGGAGAATGTTATGTTGCATCAGAATACAATCAAATAGCTGAACAGGTTCACTGCAAAACGTATCTGCATTTGCAGGGTAGTTGCATAAGCTATCTGGGAATGTCATTTTTAGAAGAGAGTGTCTTTTTGGCCAAGACTGGCCCTAAAATATGGAAAAAAAAGTCAGAGCTACTATCAGGAGAACAGAAAAGATGAACAGAGCCTGAGGGCGACTGTCTCTTCTATAACGTAAAGTTGACAACCTTGAATTACCAATGAAAATAAAATGTAGACATAATGCAGGAACTGCCAGCGGCACAGTGTCTCAAAAGGCCTATAAGGTCTCAGCATGTGAACATAGCAAAATAGTAGTTATTACTGTGATATGTCTCAGGCTGGTCCACTGGTCCTACCAGATTCATCCAGCAGCAGGTCTGGACTTTAACACACGGATCAAATTATCAGTGGCCTCTGCAGTACGCTACAACAAACACTGCTCCACCTGGATGATATATACAACGCTGCGGGCGGCTTGCACACATCAACAACGCTGCGCTGTAATCACTGTGTCATCACAGGAGATACACAGTGAGAGCAGGGTCCATACACAGACATGTCACATATTGGACATGGTTCCACCGCAGACCAGCCAGCAGTTGGAGATGTTTGCATGAAAAACAAACTTCTAAACACATTGATATGGTAATTTAAGTTATAGGTATTGTCAGCATCTTTGGTGACCGACTCAATTTGAACAACTTAAGGACTAACAAGTGTGTGTGTGTGTGTGCGCGTGTGTGTGTGTGTGTGTGTGTGCGCACTACAAACCTATCCAGGTTGAAGAGTGTGTGCGAATTTCTAACAACAGTCTCCACTCCAAACTCTTGCGCAACCTTGATGATGGCGCCATCCCTATCCTTCCCATAAGGTTCCGGATCATATTCAAATGTTAACCTGGTCACTTTCCATTCCTACAGCAGAGAAAGAAAATCAGGAACCAAGAGAAGGCAGACAGAGAGTTTGTTAGCAAGGCAAGAGCACACTGTGCAGCAGGGCTGAGTGGTACAATTATGTTTGACCCGAACAAAAAACAACACAGTGTCATCCTTCAAGGCAGCTTTTTCGATTTAAGCATTTTTAAACAGCTTAAAAAGCCGACAAACCTTCCGCTCCTGTGTTCATTTTACACAGATGCCAGAATCCCGGTACCAGAGGCGTGATGGTTTTCATGATGTCTAGTGGTCTGTCGTACTTCATGGCCAATTTGAAAACTAAACAAATGGGCTGTTATCTGATTTAGTTTGATATTTCTATAAATTGAAATTAGGAATTAGAGAAGCCTACTATACTGCATCCAGTTTCGGTCTGTGTCTGTTTGAGGACATTCACAAAACATCCTCCCCACAGGGTTGTGAGTTGTAGGTGTGTTTGTTCGTGCTTTAGAATGTAACCAAAGTGAAACAATCACAGAATTACGTTTAAATTCTCAGATTCACTTTGATTTTGCTGATGCTGCTCTCTGAACTCAAATGGCTTTTCTCAAACTGTAAATAAACCCACTCACTGTTTTAATCACACCCTGGATCTTGTTATGACATATGGAATCGAAACTGAACACTTAGTTTTCCCCCATAACCCTCTTCTGTCTGACCATTTTCTATTAACTTTTGAATTTACATTAATGGATTATACTCTATGTTGGAAACAGTTCCACTACAGTAGATGTCTATCTGACAATGCTGTTACCAAGTTTAAGGAAATAATTCCATCATTATTTACTTCAGTGCCATGCCAGAAAATTCCCAACTGGAATGGGCAGTGTAAAAAGGGCTTGTGGCCCAACTCATCAAGGTGTACTTTTCTACAGTGCAACCAAACCAGGACATGGGTTGTATAAAATGAAAGAAATGTTGATGTCTTTTAGTTCTGGTCTGTTTAATGTCAAGCCTGACACAAGAGAAGTCAAAGAACCCTTGCACCCAAACTAAGCTTTAACACACAAGATTGCATGACATAGCAGGTTGGAGGATGAAGGCAGTCCATTTTTCCTCCATAGGCTTGTAACAAGTGCTCCAATCATTCCAGTCAAATTCTAAATTGAACTCTGTAGCATCACGTTTTACCTGTCCATGTGTTTGGTTGGAATAAAAACCTGCAGGCTCTTGGGTTTCCATGGCACATAATGGAAAACCAGCAATGTGTTATGAAAGGGGTGCCGTATAAACATGGCCAGAGTCTGATTTTCTTGTGTGTGGAACCAAATCCCTACAGGAAATATTCTCATAAATGTTAACACAGTCTGTAGCTGCTGGTTCAGTGTTGTGTGGTGCATACTGTTTGTAGTTACTGCAAGCAGCTGTGCAATCAGACAGCTGTGAGCCCAGTCACAAAACACACAACAATCATGCTTCTTGCCTCACATATGGTGATTTTCATTCACCTAGACCAGGGGTGGGCAATTAATTTTTACAAGGGACCACATGAGAAACCTGAACTGTGTTGGAGGCCCGAACCAACGATAACTTGAACTTAATTCTGCTCAAAATTCATCATCTCCCATTGTAAAAAGCAGTAAATTATGTGTGTTGATTAGCTGCTACTGGTAATGAGAAGAATAAGCATATTCTATAAATATTTATATAAATATAAAATTGTGGTGTAGGTCAAACAGAAAAATACTCCTATAGAAGTGATAAACAGTTAAAACAAAAACAAACATTGCATCACAGGTCCATTTTATTTTCAACTTCACATAATACTGAAAAGGTGGCAAGGCACAGGGGGTGGATGAGATCCGCCCTGAGTACCTTAAATCTCTGGATGTTGTGGGGCTGTCTTGGCTGACACGCCTCTGCAACATCGCATGGCAGTTGGGGACAGTGCCTCTGGACTGGCAGACCGGGGTGGTGGTCCCTCTTTTCAAGAAGGGGGACCGGAGGGGGTGTTCCAACTATAGGGGATTACACTCCTCGGCCTCCCCGGGAAAGTCTATGCCAGGGTACTGGAGAGCAGAATTTGACCGATAGTCGAACCTTGGATTCAGGAGGAACAATGCGGTTTTTGTCCTGGCCACGAAACACTGGACCAGCTCTATACCCCCTTCAGGGTGGCGGAGGGTTCATGGGAGTTTGCCCAACCAGTCCACATGTGTTTCGTGGATCTGGAGAAGGCATTCGACCGTGTCCC